TGCCGGGGTTAATTCAGATAAAGTGGGAAAAGGGAGGAGGGGAAAAAGAGGGGTGGGTTGGGCTGTTGTTGATGGGAAGCCCATGAAATTTTGCCTGTAGAGGAATCAAGACAACAATGATTAGATGGAAAAAGCCTAAGAAATACAGTATATAAAATGCCTTAAATGGGCATTTAAATTCGGGGTATTAAATTATTAATCGGCCGGTGGAAGAGTAACAATATATGTCAGTTGGATTGGAGGGAGAAAAGAACACCCCATTTGTATTGACTGAAACCATTCAAATTATCAAACAAGACAAAATGTATTTTTGCTTACCTTATTTTTGAGTACGAAGGTAATAGTACACTATTAATGTTTTGGCATGCGTACATGTAGGATTGCTGCATTGGCAGAGTGGAAGGTACTATATTTGGTAGCTAAAGACAAGGATGGCATTGTGTCCAAAGAAGCTATAAGAGGAGTTTATGATGGCAGCCTTTTCCAGATATTGGCAGAAGAGCATGCATCGAAGAAGAAGCGTGTGTAATTTACTTGTAATTAAATGTTTGAATGTAATAATACAAAGTGTGACAAGCATGCCGATAGTGTCCGTGTTATTTGTTATTCAATTCTTACCAATTCGTTGAGTTGAACCTAATACAGCTTATTAATTACATATTCACTATTCCTTGTACGGGTTTTTTTATTCATTCAATTCGATCTCCCTGAGTTTTGTCCGACTAAGTTCGGAATGTATTATGGCTGCGTAGGTGTTTTGGTACGTACATGTAGGATTCTTGCATTGTAAGAGTGGAAGGTAGTATATATATGGTAGCCAAAGATGAGGATTGTGTTGTGTCCAAAGAAAAGTTTTCCATGACAGCCCTCTTCAACATTGGTGGAATAGCATGCATCGGAATTTAGAGATCACCATTGGCTTTATTATTTTTCTTTGGGGGGGAGGGATTTCATTCGCATCCAGGGGAGTAGACTTAAGGAAAACAAGGTCTATTATCATTCGATTGTATGAGCTAGAAAAGATGGCCCAACGCCAAAACGTAGTAGTATTTGGTTTTTGGTAAAACCAATTACCCAACTGTAGGTTGTTTTTCTGTTTTTTTGCAAATCCAACCATTTGATTTCGGTGCGCTACTGGTTATAAAAAAATACTACCTCCGTCTCTAAGGCCCCTTTTGGTACATGAAATTCAAAGTATGGAATTGGAATTGAGGACTCCAATTCCAATTCTGGTGTTTGGTAGCAAAAAACTTATGTGGATTTGGAATTGATAGTACAAAAAATGAATTGGAATTGCTGAATTCAATTCTATGGAATTGAATCTCATGGAATTTCAATTCCAATTCCTTCAATTTCTTATACCAAACGGACACAAAGTATTTTCTAGTTTTGACTTATTTTAATTAATCGCTATTCAATTTTGATCTATAATTAAATAAAATCTATATTGTATATTAATTAGATAAAATTATATTTTGAAAATATTTTATACAACAAATCAATAAAATTATTGTTTTATCAATATTTAATATTATTTCTATTTAATACGAGATTTACCTGCCTAAGTGCAATGGGGGCCTAGGAATCAGGAACATGGACCACTGGAACAGAGCTTGTATTATGAAGATGTGTTGGGATATTGCAAATAAGAAAGAATCTCTGTGGATAAAATGGATATCTCCTAGACCTGACAGCTGCTAATATTGGAAAAAAAAAAACCTTGAGCAATAGAAGATGGTTTGAGGATATGCCAAGAGACAGGCTATACACAATGGAGGATGGGTACAATTAGGCAAAAGCCGAACTGGGTAAAGCTGGTTTGGTACAGGTATAGCCTACCTAAACCTCAATTCATATTATGGTTGATTGTTAAGGGTAGAATGCAAACTAAAGAAAGAATCAATAAATTTTTTCCGGTTGACACTACCTGTTTACTTTGTAAAAGAGCTGTAGAATCTAGAGATTAATCATCATTTTTTGCACATGTGATTTTACCAAGCAAGTTAGAGCATAGATGGTTAATAGATTTGGTGAAAGCATTTGGGGGGAGACTGTTGCGGACATAGGGAGAAGAATTTTGCAAATTCCCACTAGGAAGAAGAGGAACATACAAGCTGCTGTAGTAAGCTACAATATATGGAGGACTAGAAACTTCTACCTTCACAAGAATGAAGAGCCTATGCTAAATACATGTGCCCAAATGGCAATTTACTAGGTTGAGATTTTCTTGAAAGGGAAAGGTGTTTGCCTATAATGGCACCTGATGTTTGTGTTGATTCTGTGTGTTAGTTTAGTGGGTAGTGATGTCTAGTTGTAAAATGTTGTGGGTGTATTCTGCAAGCATGATTTAATAAGAAGTGCATTTTGATTAAAAAAAATACGAGTATAAGCATGATTTAATAAGAAGTGCATTTTGATTAAAAAAAATACGAGTATAAGGTTAAAGTTTACTAATTTTAACTGAAAAAACCAAAAGTGAACAAATAGTTAAAGAAAAAGGAAGTATATTACTGAATTTTGGGTTTGGTTTAGGGGAGATAAGTAAATCATTTTCGATTCCACCTTAAAACCAAAGAATTCTTGTTCGTGTTTAATAATCGAACTTAAAGAAGAAAGAAAAAAACCAACTTTAGACGACACGCATATTTGTCCTTTCCACACTTCCTTTGCTTAGCTTGCTGCATATATACGCACTTTGTTTTAAAGAAAGAGTAATTACACGGCACGCATATTCTCCAACACAAATATATATATGATCAATTAACAATTCCCACTTTCCAAAAATAAAAACACATACCGAGTATATATACTCCATATATATTTTCCCCCATCAAATAATCAAAGGTGAAATATAATAAAGAAATTAGCTAGCGTCTACTCCTGATTTGCTGCTGCAAATTAAAGCCATGGCCGCCAGAGATTCATCTTCTTCCTCCCACGACAGTGTTTTACATGACGGCATGCTATTTATTATCGATCGGATTTCTCTTTCATTATTTTTTTCCACAACATTTTTGCCACAACTAACGTAACGTACATATGAAGTACAGATAAAAATCTTTCCTAGAACTACATTTTTTTACCAGGTTTTTTTGTTACTCCTATAACAATGTAATAAAAACCCACAACGAACTTTAAAAAAACAGTGTAATTGAAACAAGAAATGATGTTTTTTAAATAAAAGATGGACAAATTGATGGATATGATTTTGCAGGAACAGGAGATTCTTGTGAGCTTACTCCTCTGAAAAAACATGTAATATTTTTTGACGCCAACCGGGATGGAATCATTTATCCCTGGGAAACATATCAAGGTATTTATTAGAAATGAATTACATCACCAATTGCACTGTCTTATGCAATATTATGTTCACTAAGAGCATCTCCAACCTTGTTTACTGTATTGGCTTGCTATTTTTATATTTTAACAAGTGAATAAAAACATAATAAGTGATATTTTGTTACATTCCCCAACCATGGCTTGCTAATCCATTCTACAACTCTTGGTTTCCTATAATTTGAGAGTTTGTTATACGGAGTATTTAGTAAGCCAAAGTCGTTTTTTGGCAAGCTTGCTAAAATTAAACACATCCATTGGAGAAGAAAAAAATAAGTTGACTTGTTATATTAAGGCTTTTAGCAAGCCAAAGTAGGATGATTGGAGATGCTCTAACCATTTAAGGAAACAAATTATTAGTACCTAATTAATTCTCATTGAATATTGTACATTACGTATGTTGGGACCGCACGTGCCCTTACCCCAATTCTTAATATGATACTGTTCGCTCTGAGTCAAGCCCTCATGAATTTATTTTTAGGCACCTTCCGAAAGGCCTCATACTAATGGGGTTAGGTAAACCTTTAAATTTTGGTTCATTTACTACTAAACTTCGAGTGTGCATGAGACTTGGAGGAATCCCAACAATGTACTCCATACTCATTGGTTTCATTGGTTGTAGGATACAATTTGGGGATATTTAAATAGGCATGATTATAGGATCACTATGAAAGTTATACTCCCTCCGCGCGTCCTTAAAAAGAATTCCTTTTTGCTTTTTTTTTCTCCTCCCATCCCAAAGAGTATTTCCACCTCCTATTAAATAATCACTTTTATTTTTACGAATTCTAATTCTACCTATCACATCATATTTACCCATCACTGCTAATCTTCCCAAGGCCATCGCATATATCGTACTTTTTACCCATTACATCAAGGCTAAGAGTAATGCTAGTGATATGCACATATTTTATACACTTTTTAATCATATTTTGAAGGAGTTTTGAGTCTCAATTGAATTTAATGTTTATATTTTATTTCAATTTTCCGTTTTATTTGTGTAGAGCGGTCCTATGCTTGGTTTTATATGTTTTGTAGGTATTTTGAGGCCATTTGGACGCATTGAGAACAATTTCAAGAACGGAAAATAAACA